AGAAACCCACAGATGCAGGGGATGAGACTAAGCAGAACCCTGAAGGCTCTGAGACCCTCCCAGCTCTGCTGAACAGATTTCCAGGATCACCTGAAACTTGAAAGTTTTTTGAGGATGACAGAATGAAAGCCAGGCTTTACATGGAGAACACCCCTGCCCCACACCCAGACCCTGGAAGCCCTAAGAGGTGCCTACAGAGTCCATGGAAAATGCAAAGACATGACGCAGAAAGGCTTATTTTGTCTTCTTGTGGTATCTTTAGGACTTCTGCTCACTCCCTTCAAGGAGGTAAGAAGAAAATGTCCTGCTATAACCACCAACCGTACATCGCTGTGATGGGGTGAATGCAATTCTTGTTGATACATGAGATAAAACATTGTACCACACGAGCCTCAAGGATGCTCAAAAGTATGTGGGGATCAGCTCCATTAGCCAAAGTCACATAAATCTGCAGAAGTGGAGGGGCCCTGGCCAAAGGGATGCTCCAAGTATTTGGCCAGACTCAACCCTGCCTCCCGCTGAGGCTGAAGCTGCAGCTCCTGATTGTGATCTGGAGAAATAAACCTGGGGAACGCAGCAGAGCTACACGCTGTTTGAAACTTGCAGTTAACCTCGTTCCTAAGTCTGAAAGACAGTTATGATTTTAAAATAGCTGCTTTTAGTCATTTGGGGGATTTGCTACAGAAAAAAAAAAAACAACAAAAACTATAAACACTCTAGTAAAAACTGAACAGAAGCAGTATTTAGATAGAGTGGCCTCAGGAATGTTTTGGTTGTCATTACAAAAATAAATAGGTGATATAAGAGGAAAAAATAATCTGAAAAGCCATGTTATTTTCAAGCCTATATTTAGCTGCTTTTTTTTTTCTACTGCCAAGTCTCTTAAAGAAAGAAGATTAATGATTGACATTTCCCTGCAGAATAAGTTCAAGCTAAGATTAATTTAAATTATGGAAGAAGAACATATAAAGGAGTTTTGCAAATAAAAAAAGTTCAGCAGCACCCTACTACTGACATTTATGAGCTGTCACCTCTCATATGGTGCATACTGGAATTGCTACTCTCTGAGATTTTCATGTTTTTCCTTGGAAATTTTCCTTTTTGAGAGAAAAAGAGCTACCCTTAACAGATTTCACCAGATCTGATATATTTTCCTGATTAGCAGAATGTGTCATATGACCAGCAGGAAAGCTTTAGATCACGCTAACATGAGCACATCTCTGGGTAGCACCCATGTTCATTGATTGTTTAGCATAGCTCAAGGTTCTTTTAATTTTCTTTCACAGTCAGTAAGTGTTGCATGGCCATGAGAAGCAGCAAAGCAAAAAGATAAGCACCTACCTGTGTCATCCAGTCTGTAATTCCAGCTTACCTTGTAGTAAAAAAGGCTCTCCGTGTGCAGGTGGGACAGACACGGTCATGGTCAGGATGGTTAGCACTCCAAGGGACAGCTGGACACACCGCATCTTCTCCACGTTCCCACCACCCAAAAGCATTCTTCCTTCAGGCAGGGTGGAGGACTTCAATGCAACCCAGTGCCAGCTGAGCTCACTTTTAAGAGGCAGTGGATGTGCCGTGATTGCAAATGGCCTTTGGAGGAGGGGAGAAAAATATCTCTTGAGATATAATTCAACCTGTCAATATGATTCACTCCTTTGGGAGTGGACAGAACAACCCAGTAACAGACGTCAGATGGAACCTGTTCAATATATCTCATATCAGACTGATCTAATGAATTCTGATGTTCCCACAGGCGTGCACTGTCCATGCACGTCAATATACGTTCCGTACGTACATACATTAAAAATATTTTTTTCAGGGCCGCTGCTTTAATGGAGGTCAGACATGAGGACTCCCACATTAGCCAGGAAGGTTTGTCTAACGTACAAGTTGCTGTATTTCACCGGTTTGCACAGAATCAGGTTAATGGGTTTTGGTAATTTATCATCTCACTTCCTAGTGCCTATATTAATTAATGTGAGTTATAATGAGTGCTGAAGTGGTGGAAAATGGAGGGGGAGAGTTCTTTCCATTTAACTGATTGGAGGATCTTGAGTGTGTCTCGCTCACCGTGACTTACGGCTTTGTCAACGGGAAAGGCATCACACCCTATTTTGGGATTGTGTCTGAGTGGGAGAGTGCAGATTTGGCAGCAGATATGGAATACATCAACGATGGGCAACTGGCTTCTTTTTTTTTCTTGGGGAAAGAAAGGAAGTGGAAGGTCAGATGCCGGCTCTGGCTGCAGAGCCATATTTTATGAGTGTAGAGCAAAGTATTGAGGCACACTGCACATATTCCATGTCTCCTCAGGTTGGGACCACATCGTGGTTTGGCTTCTATTTGTCGCCTGGCCATCACTATTGATCAGGGACCTGCTACTAGTTTTCACTTACGACCTGATCAAGAAAAATGCTGTAACAGTCACAGAACTAAACTTTGTTCTTCACTTCTGCTGCTTCTGGAGAACTGAATCATCTGTACTACACGTTGGCCAAGCTCTGACTTGTACATACACTCCTAATGACTCACCTCGTGTGCTTTTTTGACACCACATCACGCCAGATTACCCAGCATAGCTTCATCTGATGGTACCTGCACTTCATCTGAACTAAAAGACAATCTCGTTTCTGTGTTTGGGCTTTTGACTTCTGGTCCCCAGCTCTCCCTACAACTTGCTGTGCACCTTGGATAGCTATAGGATGACTTGCCTTTTAATATCCCTTTTGATAACTACTTTTTACTAAAAAATGATTAGGTAGATGCTCAGACTTTTTTGCAAGCATCTATGAAAATGAATGTGATGCTCCCATTATGGAATACTTCTCTACTGAGGAAATATTCCAATATTTCTCCTTGCACAGGAGTCCAAGGTGGACAATAGTAGCTCTGATTCAAAACCATGTTCTTAAGGGAAGTCCAGGTCTGGTTTTACCTGGCATTAAAGGGCTTTCCAGGTCCCTACTAGCCTGTCCTGAGCTCTGCTGTGAAATAGGGTTTGCTTTGATATAGGTGGTGGTTTTCCCCATCTCATCTAAGTCGATGCAGAATCCACAGATCTTGGGCTGGTTTTTCCTACCCTTGGCTGTGAGGCATCATGGGCTATCGGCAGACGCGTTCAGGAAGATGAGCTGTTCCCTGGGATTTCCTCTCTCACTGCAGAGAAACTTCAGTTCTGGGTCACCATGACTGTTCAGCCCCAAAAGCAACTAATACATAGAGTGTGCAAGTCCTTTCAAGCGAGGGCTCTGGTGCAGGACTGCCATTCCACACTTACACCCCAGAAGGGAGATCACTGGGTGCTGTGAGCGGGTGGGTGGATAGATGTCTGACGGCTGCTGCCAGACACTCGTGGACTTTTGGCATTTGTTGCCATTATGAGATGGTTGATTTGAAGTGTTGGGCTTCTGTAGGACTCCTACCTGGGAAATTCCTCTGCTTTTAGCCCACCTGTCTGGGTGCTGGAAATACTATTGACTTTTATTGTTCTTACATATTTTTTTCTCCATAGAAAAACAACATAGTCTCCATATTCTCTGCATTACTTCACTCAGTGATAATGTCTTCTACATCATCCACTGAGTACTTGTGTCTAGAGATAGTAAGCACATGAAGATGGGAGCTCCATCTCTACCTCCCATGGTTCTAGTGTGTCTAAGCCTCTTCACATATAAGTTTCTCTTTTCATAAAGCTATGCATACATCAGGTAATCAAACTGGAAAATTGACAAGGGTGGACAAACCCAACCAATCCAGAGAACAGGAATGGAGAAGACTTGGCCCAAGCAGCTGAGATGCCTCTAAACTCAGCTGTGCCAGCTCTGAGTGTGAGAGGGGAGTCCACGTGTCAGGACCCTGAGGGTGCTAACAGTCCTGAGCAGCTTCAGATGGGGCCTCCACCCACCCTCTCTGCCCATAGGCTGGGAAGCCCCATTTCAGCTTAGCCCTGGACCATCTCAGTTTCTGTCTGAGCTTTGCTGGAGGAATGCTGGTCTGCAGCTCAGCTATGTCTTTGCCTGCACATGGCCCCTGCTGATCCGGACCCAGACCTGCACAGACTCCTCCTCTCTGCCAGGTAGACTAGTAGATCTTGGAGTGGCGAAGGATTTTTGGATACTTTATATAAAATCCCAATTTCTCTGAAGTCCCTTTGGGCTTTGCTGTTAGCTCTAATGAAGCCAGGGCTGCCTCTAGAAGAGACGCAGTCCCCAAATAACCTAACCTTCTTTTTAAACCCAAAGCAGTAATGCTTACTGTTTCAGAACAAGCCTCAGACAAGGGGAATTCAGTAGGGGTTTTGAGTGACTTGTAAGATGCAGCAGACAGTGTTGAGCAGTGAAAGCAGGAGAATGTGAAAGAGCTGTTATCCAGAGCCAGCTTTGACTGGGAGACTTCCAGACCACTTTGTATGCTGTATGTTTGGGGTTTGGAGAGAGGAAGGATATTTTTTCTTTTTCAGAGCTCCTTGAGAAGACATGAAAACATCACACGAATCATGTATTTCAGGTGAGCCTCAATGGCATCAGCAGGCTTTGCTGTGGTTTTATGGTCTCCACTTAACCAGAGTTTGCTTGGTCCCAAAGCAAACAACCTGCTCTAGGAGGACCTGTCAGGGAAGAGCCTTTACTTAGGGTTGGGGAAAAGGGTGGATGAACTGTCCTGAGAGCTCTGCACCAAGGATGGGACTTGGCTGCAACCAGTAGTATCTGGTGGAGACAGGGTTTTATCCTGTGTGGTACGTACAGGAAGACTCGTGTATTGCTGTTTTCTTCCCTAGAGTGTTTCTACTAATAAGATGAAGGTGGGGAATGACAAGGAAATTTGGAAATGAGGAGGGGACACACCTTGTGGAGGGAAAGGTGGGGTTGGGGCTTGACAGTCACAACAAAATGGGGAGAATTTGGTGAGCTGTTAGCAGGCAAGAAAGAGGAGCTGCCCTCACAGCAGGAGTGAAGTGAGCTTCCTATGCAATGTCAGAAAAGCAGGAGTCACCTTGCTCCCCATCCTGGGCAGTGACTTAGTGTGCCCACCCCATGCCAGCATGTGCCTCTGCCACCTTTGTCTATTCACATGCCCAATGAACTGGTTCCATCTTCTGCAGCCAAGTGCTCCCCTCTTCTCTAGTGTCTGCCTTTCTTGCCTGTACCACTATAGACCTGACACCATGTGTCTCTTCTGTCTCTGTTCCTATTGCACCTCTCTGCTCCTCTGTGTCCAGCTGTGCTTCACCTGGTAGGAATCGGAGTAGAAGGTACTGAAAAACCACCCTGTCCTCTTCAGCCCTCATCCCTTACACATTTAATATTTTATTTCTTCTCTGCCTGTGTCAATTCTACCCTGGGGCAAATTCAAGAGAACAAAGTCCACTCCAGTCCTGTTACCTAAAGTACCACTGGAAGGCGCTCAGATATTCTGCTGATGTGTGGTGCAAAGTCCCTGACAGAGCAGCTTGGCTGCACAGAAAGGAATTAAAATATTGTGCATGTGCGCCAGGAAAGCAGCCCCCCTCGCAGCTCCCTGAGAGGAGGGAGTGCATAATGGGGAGGGAGATGTAGTTATAAAATGAGATTCCCTGTTCCTTAGGGGACTGTTAAAACCAGTCAATATTTATGAAGCTTTTAGTCTGACTCATGCAATTTGTTCCCCCTTCTACGTGCTTGTCTTTGGGACTCAGCTGTTGCTTGGCCATAAAATTAGATGCTCTGGTTTAACTGTCTCCTTGCCTGGAGAAAGAAAAGATAAAGGTCCAAGGCAGAGTGTAAAGCATCTCAAGTTGTCGCCTTCACTGCAATCAACCAAGGGAGCACACAGAGTGAAGCATCGCCAGCTCCCATGAGATGGGCATTGTGCTGAAGAGAAGCAGTTCCTCGTGGTTAGGGCAGCGGAGGGTACGAAGTGCAGCTGGGCTGCCTTCCTGGTCTTCACATGCACTCTAGGGGCTGTTGGGAAACCATTCAACTTCTTAGAGAATGAGCCAGCTCCAAAGTGCCCTCCTGGAGGGAGGGGCTGGAAGAGGAATGCAGGAATGTGCAAGCATGGGATGTGGGAGGGGGCAGCCCATGGGGACACAGCAGGGAGCAGAGGCAGTCCTGGTACCATTCTCCCCTCTGCCTCATCATCCTGAGCCAGAGCACCTCTTCCAAACCAGATCCCAGTCTCCCATCCCTACTGACCAGGGGTGACTTGGTTGAGGTTCCTGGTGAGTAGATGAGGACAACATAGAAAACTTCTCCATTGAAATGTGCTGTGACCTGCTGGTCTCAAAGTAATTTTCAATAATGTTCCTGAATGGTAAATATTGGTGTGACTGTGTAGGGACTAACCTGGTCCCTGTGCCAGAACGGTGCCCTGAAGAGGCATGATCTGGAATGACCTGGTTATACCATTAGATGTACCCTGAGCTTGATCCCTCTCTGTTCTGACTCACCTTCTGCAGGCTCTGCGTTCATCCTGGATGAGCATGAGCAGTGCCCTTGAACATGGCAGGGGCACTGACTGCTGAGTAAGTGATGCTGGGAGGTGTCTTTGCAGGAGCAGTGTCACCTCCAGAAGCTATTTCCCCAGCAAAG